GGATTGAATTGATTCAGGCAGTCTATTAGCTCACTTTGCTGACTATTTTAACAATTCTGTCTCCTAGGATGATAATGGTGGTAGAAGGGGTGGTGGTTCCAGAAGATCCGCAGGCAACATGAGACCATCGAAGACCTTGTTTGTCATTAATTTTGATCCTATACATACTAGGCCCAAGGATTTGGAGAGGCATTTTGATTCATATGGAAAGATAGCAAATATAAGGATCAGAAGGAATTTCGCATTTGTCCAATATGAGACACAGGAGGATGCTACAAAGGCCTTGGATGCAACAAATATGAGGTTTGATTGTCCTGAGGACTTCAGATTTATTCTTCTATATGTAGTCCTTGAGACTGTTACCGTTAAAGTTTGTTTAGTTGTAGTTTTGAAGATAATCTACGTCCCGTAGTCATCTGGGGATATTTTTTTTAGGGGAATGGTTATCACTTATCACAGAGTAGTTCCACCGTCTATTGATGACGTTACCTCAGTTTATCTCTGTAGCATGTGATGCCATAGCACCCCTATTATGCTTACTGCTGTCGGAAGGTGGTACTTAATTTTCCTTCTTTGTTATTCCAAGAAGTGGGACACGACCCACTACTGGGAATATAGAGGGACATGACCGAGCTTTTAGGCTATATTTGTCTTATCGCAGTATTATGGGATACGACCCTTTTCATCTATATTTATCAAGTTTTTATCATTGTGAATGTAGCAAATTGATGGATCGAGTTATCACGGTGGAATATGCAATTAAGGATGATGATGAGAGAGGGAATGGTTACAGTCCTGATAGAAGGGGTCGTGATGCGTCTCCTCATGGAAGGGGACGCGGGAGATCACCAAGTCCATATCGTCGAGATAGGGGTAGCCCTGATTATGGGCGTGGTGCCGTTCCAAATTCGAGAGATGACCCCCGAGGGAGTCCCACATATGACAGAGCCGAAAGCCCTGTAAATGAGAGATATCACAGGTTTGCTCGAATGCAGAGCCTGACTTAAGCATTTCTTTCTCCTCTAACCTTAATTTGGTTTGTTTTTTTTTACTTTTGAATGTGCTTTGATGTTGTAGCCGTTCACCTCCACCTCGCGAAAGATCTCGTTCTTGAGAAAGCGCAGCAAAGAAGTTATGGCAGGTGATGGTGAGGCTTAGGATATTTGTTGTCTGGCCCGGGGTCGCTTCTGGACTGGAGCTCTGTTAAAGACTTTTTAATTGTAATTTTTGGGAGTCTCTTTTAGCTTTAAAAGGCTTTCGTTTCATAAGGCAAATGTTCGTTTAATCATGTCTGTTGTACGGTCGACCTTTGAATGATTGCTGCTGTTAACGTGCAATACTTTTTAACTTTAATCACCTTGTAGTATTCTGCTTTGGTATGAATTGCAAATTTTCCTGTTTCCACTGATGTCGAGATTCTGGATGTTTGAACTGCTAGTCTCTATATACTTGTGTCGGTTGGGGACCTCTTCTTAACACTCCCCGGTACTACATTGGTACTCAAGCTTTTAAGAAACCCTCTTTGTGGTGTTTCGGGTAGATTGGAAGTACGAGCTCGAGCCTTGCAGCTTTGGTAAACTTCTGAAACTCCTGTTCTTACGAATTAACTTTCTAGTAAGTGGTTAGGCTCTATACTGCAGAATCATGAATTCATGGATTTCATTCAGTAGGTCAACCTGAACCCGAGTGGAGCTTAATGCAACTTGGTGGTGGGTTTATGAGTTAGTACATGCTATGCCGAATTAGAAACGAAGCCTTGACTGTCTGTCTAGCTTGATATACAGCCCTTAGTCAAGAGCTAGTGCAACCCCTTTTGGAAATTGGGAACGCTTGTTGGTACTGACGCTTCTTTAGTTAAATTAATCCACGCTCGGTTCACCGAGAGGACTCGAACCCCCAACCGGTTTCCGAGATGTTCTCTGATTTTGAAGTTTCAAGATTCGAAACGCCTGCTTTGACTTTTGAACAGCACGATCTGTTTTTACAATTGTTATTGTTTGAAGGTACGGAATCTTGTCGACCAGGAAGGAATCGGTAGTATCCCATCCACCGACTCACATGTCCGGCCTAGCCTATTTAAAAGCAAGAGACTTTGGTGATGGAGTTTGCTCGGCGGTGACCAACTTGGTCAATTAGAAAAAGGCGAATCGAAGTCCTAGGTAACGAGAGAAGAAAACATCGCGAGGGACCTATCTGCACTTCGGACGTCGTCATCCCCACGAACCACGCTTCTTGGGACTCTCGCCCCCCAATACCAAAAGGCTGCTCACGTTGTCTCACGCTGCTCCGCTCTGCTTCGCTGAACATGCAACTTTCCCCTGTTTTTTTCTTTTTCTTTTATTTTCTTTCTCCTTTTGAATCATCAAATCGTTTTGAAAGTGTGTTGAGATTTGAATATTAAAATACGCAGATTTAAGTGCATGGAAGCTGCCGAGCGCTTCGGCAAGTGCGCTTCGTGCTGTCCCTGTCGAGAAAAGACAAAAACTCTACAACTTCTCGAGCCGGCCTCTCTCTCTCTCTCTCCTCTCGAGGTTTTTCAATCTTCAGGTTCTTGAAAATGAATTGCTCTGAAAAAAGAAGTGAAAGATCAAGCAGTACTCTCGTATTGAACCCACTTCTGGTTTTGGAAATTTGAACCCAGAACGAGTAATTCTAGATGATGCTACTATATGTGTGATTTGATCATACCTAAAACCTCATAGTCAACCATTTTCTATGTTAGTTGCTCTGACATGCCAGCTTATTTTTTGAGTTAATCAATGTAATAAATGTCCTCATACAATGGTGTTTTCGTTTCTGTACATGCGTATGTCCTCTCCAATCGATGGACGAATTTGAATTAGTTTCTTATTAGAACATGAATTGGAGGGTAACGGGGATAAAAGTCAACACCAATAACGACAGTCCATACTGATTAATTTACTTAGAATATGGGGTCATTAGTAGTTGCATCGGGCTCGTATAGTTTAAGTCGATAAATAAAACAATATCTTAAGGTTGTAAGAGAGAGCGGGATTTTACCGACGGCATGTCATGTTCGCTTCGCAAAATTAGGTTCAGTTGCTAGAAAAGAGTTAATTGTTTCTTGGTATGGCTTTCTTTTTTTATAGAAAAATTTCCATTTCACTTTCATTCACATACCATGCATCTCAGAAATCATTAAATCGAGTATCTGTTTCTTCCTTCCTTTCTATCATCATCTTCCATGTATAGCTAGGGATTTTTATCACAAAACGATCAATTATTACATACGTCTGCATAATGCCATGTTTTCAAACTTATGGATGTAATTAAAAGAAATGCAGATAAATAACACAAAAGTAAAAGAAGAAACAAATTATGCTGCGGAATGTATTGATTAGATTATCATTTTCTGTAATAGGCTAATAATTATCATTTCCATAAGGCAGGGATAATTTCAAGGCTAACAGTGTGTAGCAACACGTGGCATCATCCCTGGGGTGAAGGAAAAACCAAGATGTTCAAAAAAAACATAGCCCCAGTCACAACGGTTGCCTAGCCCAATCTCAGCCGTCAGATCGTGCACATTGACCAAGGGCTGATTCTATATCAGGGCTAATCACGTTCACATCCATCTCTGACTCCTGAGACTCGGGACCTTCCCATTTCTCTTCCCATATGGTCCGTTTTTCATTCTTAAATGAAAACGAAACTACATGAAACAAAAACAGAAAAAAGGAAAAAAATCACAAAAAAATCTTCAAATTATGTCTCAACGTGATTCATTTACTTTAAATATTTCTGTGACATTAAAAATTCTAAATTATATTCACTGTAAAATATGCACCCTAAACTTTTTCTTATGATATAAAAAATTCTAAATTTATACTTACATGACACGTTTACCCTCCATCAATATTTACGCTATATGATTTTTCGGTCAAGAAAAGTCATTTCACGCTGCTTTCTAGAGTCTACATAGGAGGATTTTAATGATGGGATAAATACGTCAGATGTGTATAAAAAAAAAGCTTATCATAAATAAGTCGCGGCGAGTATAATTCATGGTTTATGGTGATTTTTGAACACAAAGGTATCAATTTCTGCAGACGAATCTGGGGAGACAGAGACACCTGACACGACTCTCCTTCCTGACGAGAGAGAGAGAGAGACGGGGGGGGCATGAAAGGGGTTTGATTTTTGAATGCGATCTTCATTTGTAAAAATCTCTATCTGCGTGTCCTCGCCTTGTCTGCGACCCCAGAAAGAATAAAAAAAAAACAAAGAGAATTCAGCCACCATTTCTCCTTCTTCTTCTTCGTCCCCTTCACTTGTCCTGCCATTTTCTTTTTCTAGCTATTTTCCAACCCCAACAAAAAAGAAAAAAGAAAATGAAAGAGGAGTTTGACCAGTGAGAGTCCACCCTTTCCGCCTCCAAACGAAACAAAAAAAACCAGGTGTGCCCCTCCCCCCTTCTGGCTCTAAAGTGCTCCCTCTGTCGTTTTCTTGAGCAACCACCACACAGTCTCTCTCTCCCCTGCTTCCAGCTCAAAAACCACTCCCTTCTCTTGCTGATCCCGCAAGAGTTCAGCCTTCCTTCAGAGAGCGATAGAGAGAGAGAGAGAGAGAGAGAGAGAGAGGGGGGGGAGGTTTGAAGATGAAGCTACAGTGGGTTTCTTTGCTCAGGAAGAAAGAAGGCATTTTTTGGGTTCCCGAGCCTTAAAGGTTGGAGCTTGACGCAGGTATGCGCTTGCTTACTTGGAAAAGTCATTCCTTTGTGGAAGTGTCGAGAAATGCTTTTTCTTTTCTTTTCTTTTCTTCTTTTCTTCTTATGCAGATCAATTAGATACCTTGTGTTTGTTGATCTCACCGTGTTGGCATTTGCCATGACAGATTTCGTCCGCCAGATACTTCAGTCGGTGCTTTTGATTTCATCTCACAGGCTTCTCTGGGTGTTGAAGAAAGTCAAAGCAATTTGAGCCGAGGTAACATGGTCTTTCACATTTATTGCTCTGAATTTTCTAATGATGACAATTATTAGGATTTATTATTGTTATTTCTTCTTCCTTTTTATGTGGGGTTGGTTTACTTGAGCTAAATTTAAATACACTCTATACAACTGTCGATGGAGACTTCTACCTTCTCTTCAAAGCAAAGCCCCCTTCTCTCTCTCTCTTTGTGAGTAGCTAGCTGTATTTTGTTAGGTTGGACTGGCAATTAAGCTAAAAATCCAAACTTTCTCGTGTTTGTGAGAAATAATGAGGTCCCAAGTAAGAAAAATCTCTGTCCAAAACCAAGAAAAGAAAAGTTGGATGCCCAGTTCGAACGTCTTTATGGTTGAAAAGTGAAGTTCCAATCTTCATTCTCACATTAGCATAATAACCCTTTAAAAGTTGCGGAATCACTTTTTTCTCACAGTGAATTAGGACAAAGTTTTCCACGAAGCAGCATGCTGTGATATGTGAGTAATAGTCATCTTCCGCCTTCTTAATTGGACGGCAGCCCTTGGCCCTTGAAAAGTCCAAGCCTTTCGTTTTCACCAACAGTGTTATAGCAAGCTTCATGTTGTTCTTACTGATTTACTCGTCATTTGCATTGATAGCACTTGAAAAGTAAGTGAAAGGACTCGTGGGGCATCTTTAGGTACTTGTATTTTATTGGTGGGGGCATTTCTCCTTTTTTTTCCTTTCTTTTTTGCAGTATACAAGCATTCTGTGATCATACAAGATTCTCGAAGCAATTGATGTTAACTTATTTGCTATTACCTATTATATTTTAAATTCTCATTAATATTGATGATTGCAACTGCTCCACTGCCTTTATATTTTATATATGCAAGTGTCTTTTCTTTTAGCATTTCTCTCATCCGGGTCGATCTCTTAGAAGCTCTCGTCTGTTTCTCCCACTTCCAGTTGCTAAGAAAACCTCTGGCGATCGATTTTGGTCAATACCCAATTCACAAATCATGGTGGAGGATTCACCGAATGAAGTCCCAGAAGATTTGCACTCTACAGAAGATTGGCTAATTCATTCACAGGAGCTTGTTCCATTGACACTGAGTAAGGCGAGGGAAGTGAAGGGGTTTCCTAGCAGGTGGAAGATGATAATTTCCAAGTTGGAGCAGATCCCGTCATGTTTATCAGACCTCTCGAGCCATCCTTGCTTCACGAAGAACACACTTTGCAAAGAACAGTTGCAGGCAGTTTCGGAAACACTGAGGGAATCGATCGAATTGGCAGAATTGTGCTTGAAAGAAAAGTATGAAGGAAAACTGAGGATGCAGAGCGATCTAGACTCTTTAGCAGGGAAATTGGACTTGAATTTCAGGGATTGTGGGCTTTTGATCAAAACCGGTGTGCTTGGTGAGGCTACAGTCCCACCATCCATGCCCAGTACTTCAACAGAATCTGAGGCTTTATCTTGTAGCAATATTAGGGAGCTGCTTGCTAGGCTTCAGATTGGACACTTGGAGGCAAAGCATAAAGCCCTGGACAATTTAGTAGAAATGCTGAGAGAGGACGAGAAAAATGTTTTGGCTACATTGGGAAGGAGCAATATTGCTGCCATAGTGCAATTACTTACCGCAACATCTCCTCGCATTCGTGAAAAAACTGTCACCGTTATATGCTTGCTGGCTGAATCTGGCAGTTGCGAGAATTGGCTTGTGGCAGAAGGCGTATTGCCCCCTCTCATGAGGCTTCTTGAGTCGGGCAGTACGGTCGGGAAAGAGAAGGCAGCCATTTCTTTGCAGAGCCTGTCAATGTCTGCAGAAACAGCCCGGGCCATTGTCGGGCATGGCGGGGTGCGCCCCCTGATCGAAATTTGTCGAGCTGGTGATTCTGTCTCCCAGGCTGCAGCTGCCAGTACTTTGAAGAGCATATCAGCTGTCCCTGACGTCCGGCAAACTCTGGCTGAGGAAGGCATTGTGAAGGTCATGATTGATCTCCTTGATCGCGGAATTCTACTTGGATCCAAAGAATACGCGGCAGAGTGCTTGCAGAACCTGACTGTGAGCAATGAGAATTTAAGGAGAAGCGTTGTATCGGAGGGTGGGGTTCGAAGCCTGCTGGCTTATCTTGATGGTCCATTGCCTCAGGAATCTGCGGTCGGGGCGTTGAGGAACTTGGTGGGGTCCATCTCAGTCGAAACCCTAGTATCTCTTGGTTTTCTTCCCCGCATGGCTCACGTGCTTAAGTCAGGGTCACCAGGTGCGCAGCAAGCAGCTGCTTCGGCCATTTGCAGGGCGTGCAGCTCTGCTGAGATGAAAAAATTGGTGGGTGAAGCTGGGTGCATTCCTCTGCTCGTGAAATTGCTTGATGCAAAATTGAACAGCGGGAGGGAGGTTGCAGCACAAGCAATCTCATGCTTGATGACAGTTTCACAGAACTGTAGAGAGGTCAAGAAAGATGAGAAAAGCGTGCCTGGTTTGGTCCAACTGCTCGATCCGAGTCCCCAGAACACTGCAAAAAAGTATGCTGTTTCCTGCTTAATGAGTCTTTCCTCCAGTAAGAAATGTAAGAAGTTGATGATCTCCTATGGAGCGATCGGGTATCTGAAGAAGCTTAATGAAATGGATGTTCCAGGAGCCAAGAAACTGCTCGAGCGTTTGGAGAAAGGGAAGCTGAGGAGTATGTTTAGTCGGAAATAGGAGAGAAACGCATTGATCCCTCTGTACATTTTAGGTTCTCCTTATTTACGATAAATGTTTCATTGTCTGGATGAAATGGAGTAGTTGATGGATCTGAACTGCAACGCGCAAGCCTGTTAATACATGGAATACCGTTACATAAAGCTAATATTTCTGCTTTTTTCAACTGTGTACATACAGCGGCTGCCTGTGATATTCTCGAGCTTTTTTCTTGATCTGCTACTTTTCCTGTTCTGCAATTCTCCCTCTTATTTTTTGTATCGTCGATATCTGAGACAACTTTCTATATGACAGATTTCTGCTGCTTTGTTTTGTGGCAAAATTCAGGAACAGGTTGTGTAATGAAGAGAAAGTAATGAGCTCTTCCTTTCGAAATTTGCTTTATCCTCTCACCTATTTTTCCAGCATACGATAGTTGGTCATTATCTTTTTTGGGCTGTTAGAACTTAGAATTGGCCAATTCAGATGAGCGTTAAAGGCAACAAAATTGGATGTGCCAAGATGACTAAAAGCTAAATTACACAGCTTTAGATCAGTTGGTTGAAGTGTAATGGTGACTTGACCCCCCATCTTAATTTGGCAATGAACAGAGACGCAAGACGACTTAGACACGGCTGTGATTGATTAATCATCATATATTAAGAATATCTTAAATGAATTCCAATGGTACTCCATTTAGAACTCTTGTGAACCATTAGGAGAAGTGTGTGGAACAGACAAATGACATCATCCTTCAGGTAGTATTTAAAATGTTGAGTGTGGAAGCTGATTGAGAATTCCTTTATCACCTCACTACTACACAGGAAAGGAGAAACAATATGGAAGGAGAACATCGTGAGCACTGACCAGCTTGCAGCTTGCTTGTGAAAAGTTGGATGGGGATCCACTTTTTAACATTTCATGCAAGTGGGCCTTGATTTGGACTTTCTTTATTGAGAATTACTTTGTGAAAGCCCAGAGTTTTGGACAGTGAAGTGCGGATTTGTGGGCTTTTGTCCAATCTGATGGGTTCTTCTGATGGAATATGCCAAAATCTCTCAAAATCACAAAAAACACAAATATACTCAAGAAACAAAACAGGGTTAAGTCAGCAGCTAATAAGCCCGACTTGTGCGTGTGGTGGGCTCACTGATGGAAGAACTCAATCCGTTCTAGTTATTTCTGGTTCTTCTGATAAAACAAAAATAAAAGAGAGGCAGATAATTGGAATAATAATAGTAAGCAAGAATTTTGAAAGGAAAGAACGGAAGAAGATTGGCTAATTGGTGGGTGTGGTGGTGTTTGTATTTTGATGAAATAGTTTTGTTTGTTTGTTTTGGTTTCTGAGGACCAAACAAGCCTTTATCACAGCCTATCGCCAAAACAGAGCAACGACAGCTTCAACTGCTGACCCACACACACAACTTCTCTCTCATTTTATTTCATCTCCTCCTGGTTTAGAGCGATAGAGAAGCGCAGAGAAAAGTGCACCACAATTTTGGTGCTTTTCAAGCCTAATCATCAAATTCAGCTCTCGCTTTGGTGCTCCTCCTCTTTCTATCTCTCCAACCCCTTCCCCCTTCCCTCTCTCCCTCTCTCTCTCTCTCTGCATTTTAATGTACAACTACAAGCTAATTGCTAAGAAAAGATAGAACAGCGAGAGAACCCAATTCATTGATTAAGATCCCACCCTTGTTTAGGTATAAAAGACGACTCTTCTGTTATCAAGTTGTGGACTTTTGAGGATCATTTGCTGCTTTATTTTCTGGTTTGTTTTAGTCAGCCTAGCTGATACATGTCTTTAGGTTGGCAGTTTGCATTCTAATCATTTTCTCTTCATGGTATTATGTTCATTGTAAAAGCAGGATATAACAATGAGTCAAACTTTGAATTCCTCGTGTATTGCGATCGAGCGTTCTTGGTTGCATGAGTCCATTCAATTTAGTTGGTTTTGCCTAATGTTCATACAGTCAATCAGCCCCTAAATCATTACAAAGTCCGCTTGATGGATAAACATCTATGTTTAGATTTTGGTTAAGTGGATGAATAATTCTAAGCACAGAAAGATTGACGAAACCCTTGAAGGAACTTTGTCCTTATTTTTTAGAAGCGTTTCTCCTCTGTTGTCTGCTAAATGGAACCTATAGTTATTGCTTTTTATAGATGCCTTTTGAATTATATCCTTTCTTTTGCTTTTACTTGTATTCAAGGGATATATAGCTTATCCGAACTGAACTTTTTCAAAGAGAAGGAATTTTGGTATGTTGACATGATTAACCGCGGTACCTTTCGCTCACAGGTAGGCTGGTCTATAAGATGAGTTCCGTTGATGTCGTGCGAGCAGAACTTGCTCTCGCTGTTCTCTATTTGAACAAGGCTGAAGCGAGGGACAAGATATGCAGAGCCATACAATATGGCTCAAGATTTGTGAGTAAAGGAGAGCCAGGTACAGCTCAAAATGTCGAGAAAACGACCACCTTGGCACGGAAGGTCTTTCGTCTTTTTAAGGTTGTATACAGTAACAAACTTTCTAGTTTCTTTCGAATGCTCTAATTTCCCTTTTGCTAACCTTCACGAAATATGTGTTGTTTCCCCCATTTGCAGTTCATCAACGATCTCCATGCCCTTATAAGTCCAGCTCCTCGAGGAACGCCCCTTGCTCTTGTTTTGCTAGGAAAGGTCAATAGACTACTTCATCCTTGTCTCAAACCTCTCCCCAGTGTTTTTTAACTTCACGCTGTCTGATAAAATTGCTGCTTGGTTCCAGTCCAAAAATGCGCTATTGTCAACTTTCTTGTTCGTTGATCAAATTGTCTGGCTCGGTCGAACTGGCATCTACAAGGTATGCATGTTATCTTCTTGCTATTGAGCATTTTATATTGTCTTTCAAAAGTTCTATGATTTGAAAACAAAATGATATATCTTGTTTGACATAGAACAAAGAACGTGCTGAGCTCATGGGCCGCGTATCACTCTTCTGCTGGATGGGTTCCTCAGTATGTGCTACATTGGTCGAGGTATGTCTTTCTCCAATCTAGTGATGGCACTTCATCTTTTGGCTAATGTCTTACCCTCTCAAGGTCCATTCCAAAACTAAATCAAATCATTGCTTTATTACTTGTTTTTTTGTCACATGCATCAGCTTGGGGAGTTGGGAAGGCTTTCTGTATCAATGAAGAAGCTAGAGAAGGGTCTAAAGAAGGGTGAAAAGTATAAAGTAGGTCATAATGCTCTCTCACTTACTAACCCATTTGCCTTCTTGTTGCTGCCTCCGTCATGCTGGCAAAAGTACCTTCCCTTCTTGACACCTACTTCTGTGCAGAACGAACAATACTGTGCTAACTTTCAACAATCAAATGAGAGGTCTCTAGCCCTTATCAAGGCGGCCATGGATATAGTGGTTGCCGTGGGGCTACTTCAGTTGGCCCCTAAGAAGGTCACTCCTCGTGTAACCGGAGCTTTTGGATTTGTCACCTCCTTAATCACTTGTTATCAGGTAATTGTGAAGTCTGTGCCATCTTCTTGATGATGTCTCTCTTGCCACATTATCAAGTCTAATGGTCGCATAGTGCTTGTTGAGTTTGAGTATCTCATGCCTTGTCTTTTGCATCTTTTGACAAACATATGCTTCCAACTTTCTGATGATAAATCTGGTTATTTTGTGCAGTTGCTTCCATCACCACCCAAGTCGAAGACATCGTGAAGAAAGGAGTCCGTTAATTTAAGAGGCTTTCGTGTTGTAATCGTGATAACCACAGACACATCCATGTTGGTGTAAGCTTATCGGCAACATGCCAACTTGTATGGTGATAATTAAATACCTGCAATTATTTATCACCTTTATTACCCAGCAAATTCTGTTGTTCCTCTTGAAGTTGTGATGTTCTCCAATTTAATCATCTGCTAGTCAATGACCACGGCAATCTTTTCACTTGCTTAGTTCCAGAGACATTACATCCAATGACTAACCGAACCGCAGGACCGCCCATTTTTTCCATGCATTAGCACATAGCCTGATGCGTTACTAGCCAAAAAAAGGGGAAAGAATGTTTACGCTGAGTAGCAAGGCATAAGGAATGCGAATGGTCGGCACGATGTTATGCTGAGGATCTAATTCTGATCACTCTCTCTCAGAGTGGGTGAACAACTTAATTTACTATTGACACCAGTAGATTGCTCTGATCTCATAAGTTTGCGGCCGGTGATGCATGTTCTAGTTCTAATGTTGCTGAGAAATGCTTTCCTCTTGCTTAATGGACCATGAATGTTGGGCACCCCAGCCATATGGGTAATTGACGTTGACATCAATCAACTTGGCACTGTATGGTTCACCAACTTATGCTATTATTACTTCAGACCTCATACTTGGTCTTCAACCAGAAACGAATGAGGAATCCACCTCGATTTTTGAAGAGGATGCCTCAGAATATCTACCGCCTCTTTGCCAAATGATTTTCGAATGCAACTTTCAAAACGTTAATTTGACGAGTATAAAAATTACACAAATTAAACAAAAGCCCACCTGTACAAACTCCAAAAGAAACAACAGCTGCATTTGATTATTCTCGATTATCATCCTGTCGGATCAGATAGCAAAAGAGAAATGACAAAGGAGACGCAATCAAGTTGTATTACCCAATTCGACCGAATATACATATGAAGAGAAGTGGTCAATGTTAAATACTCCCTTTAGTCAAGAGAGGTCCATGACCAAAAAACAAAGACCTCTACTGGCATCTCCCTTTTTTAAAGGGTGAAGTAACATAAATGAGAAAACAAAGAACCGATTTGTCGCTGAAATCATGCAAACTCTTCATCTGAATCATCTTGCCCTTCGTCCCATATATCCTCGACATCTCTCACGTTACCACGAAGCATATTGAGTATGTGCTCCAAGTTTCTCACGCGTCTCTGCAGTTCCAAGCTGGAAATTCGACGAGGACTGCTTTCAGGTAAGCTTTCTTTTGTGTAACTAAGAGCCTTCAGAACAAACTTTCCAGATGGTTCGATTATGTCAACACCAAATGTAGGTGATAAAGGCCGCCCCAAAACTCGAACATGAGAGACACTGCAAGATGCCATAAGAAAAGTATCACATTGCGCCCCAAAACCTGTCACATCCTACTTTTCTGAGTCCTCAAAATATTTGAACCATCAGCATTTTACATTGCTTTAGCCCTAGCTATAGAAGCTTTTAAAATCTGGTCACACCACACAAAAGCTTTCCACCATAACCGACAAATACCTCAAATTTGATCAAATCATAAAATAAGTTCATGATACTAGCATATGGAAAAAGAAGGCGAAAATATGAAGTCAGACAATACCAAGTATCAAGCAAAGATCTTATTTAGAGCTCCTGAAATTAAAACAACAGTAACATGAGCACTCTTATGTACAATTAGTTCACTTTGTTTAAACATAAAGTTACTTACTGCCTTTCTTTATTAACTTTAAAAATTATGGGAAAATTTGAAATGGTTGCAAATGACCTTAAAAGCCCAAGTGTACAAATTTCTGAAGAATTCAAGATGTTCGATGTTAAATAAAAGTCAAACTGCATTAAAAAGTAAAAAGACAAGTAAAAGTTGCACCAAATGGGCACTTGAAATGCAAGATCTCTGTTGCCATTTCTTTAAATTTATAATGAGAGGAGGAAAAAAGAAATGGACCATCCACATGATTATAGAATGCAAAAATGACCATTGAAGAGCTCTTTCGTAATTTGTAGTTCTCATACAAGGCAAACAAACACTTCCGTCTTTCCATATGTAGGTAAGAATGTTGTTGATGAGCTATTCACTTCTATTATTCTATACACATGAGGATTTGCCAATGTTGACATTCATGCGCATGGGTTATATGATGGACTATGCATAATGTTAGAAGTGGAAAGTATAAGCAGGATATTCTAAAATTGCTCGTGTGAAAACAATGGAAGCTAAGACAGACAGAATAGATAGTTGCAGAAAAGAGTTTAAGCAACAAAGTAATCTGTCAAAAGGCCAAAAGTGTGCAGACAAACCAAATATAAAACAAGCCATCCATTTCCTGCCTCTGCACCCTGCCAAGCAGCTCGACAAGAAGGAATCCGCCTATACAAAGGACAGGCTTTGGAAACTTGAATTTCTGCAAACAGTTCTCCTATGAACGACAGAGATTACATGATCAGCAAAATAATAAAATCCTCCAAAGGAAAAGATTTCCCGTCAATCATGTCACATTCAAACCCTTGATTATTCAAGAGTGACAATGTCTCTGTACTCTAACTCCAAGGACGTTTCGTTTACAACTACTCTGACCATCATGTCATGGCAATCATTTATTTGTGGGCAATGCTAACAACAACTCTTAGTAGGTCTCTTAACACTTGCCGGGCTACTATTTCTCTTTCCTAAAAAAGAAAGAACTTTTCAAAGGACAAAAACTTCTGCTATTCAACAAAGCAAGACAGAAAGAAAAAAAAAATAGAAACTGATATCTTTGGATAATGATGACAATCTTAAGGTGAGGAACACTGTTAAAACACGTTACTGAAGTACACAAAAAGGGAATTAACAACTTTAAGGTCCTGTATTGTTCTTTCCCCATATAAGGAAGCAGGTGGAGAATTGAGGGTGTTCCTAAAACATAATGAAAGTAAAAAGAAAGTACACTGCATGTCTTACACAAAAAGAGAATTAACAACTTTATCCCAGTCCGCATTCTTCCAGGGGGCAGTAGAGACTAGTAGATGAAACAAAAAACACCATGTAGCAGGACCAAAAAGCCGCACTTGCCTGAGCCATGGGAAACTCTGGGGAAGTGTAAGTCCATACAAACTTATCATTTGTAGAATCATGACATGATTGATCGACCGAATCAAGATCCACTGAAGCTTTGGGATAACCCATCCGAAATCGCACAGATTTGGCCGAATATATAGGTAATCCTGTCTGGAAATAAGCTGCCCATGACAATAATTTAATTTATTTAAGATACAAATAAACACAAAAATCAACGAGAAGAGTGCAAAAAGAAATCAGGAAAAACCTTGAAAAGGTTGGATGTCGATCTCAGTAATAACACACAAATCACCAACCAGTTTGTAAATCAAAGTCTCAGGCACAGCAGGTTTCTTTTGTCCTTCACTGGACCAGTATGAGGCGATCCTTCCAACTCTATCTCTCATTTCCAAAGTATTATTAATACCTTCCTCCGGGAAATTATCAGTGCTGGAAGCGCTTATTGCATCTGAAATACACTCTCTGTCAACAATTGATCTACAACAATGAGACAGAAAACCATAGACCCTATGCTCCCTTTCCAGAACATCCCATTCTTTAGTGTTACTAGAACCAGTTTCAGCCTCAGTTTTGAAGGAGCAGCTTTCGGTGACATGATCAACTCCAGATAACTGAGGAAACATTCCGAGGCATAGTTGCTTGGAAAGACCATTGGAGACCACTGCATAAAGCCAAAAACCAAAACCATTCAATTGACAATATCGAGATCCGCAAACCCATTTAACATCCAAATATGAAGTCAAAGATCCATCATAATTGTTACTGCAACACATCAAAATGTGATGAATTCATTAATGACAATTAATTGATGAACAGTTGCTTCATAGAAAAAGATGCTGATAATCTAAATGGTCTTTCCAATTACTAATTAGAAAAATGGAATATAATCATGTCAATGCATATCCAGAAAGCTTAGATAAACAGAGCAATAGCTTAAAACTAAGTTCCAAGCTCCCCATGAAATTAATTGTATTATTTCCCGAAAACCCATGTCAAAATATAAATCAGCCTCTTCTCAATGAACCCCTTTGCATTACAAAGCATATGCTCCAAAGTTGCCAGAACACATTGTATTTCATGCAGATTCACAATGCACTACAGAAGCACGAAGCAATAAAAGTCATCTATGGTAAAGCAACTCTCTTTAAAATGTAATTCAGCTGAATGTCCACACTCATCAGCCAGGCACTATTGATAGAAAATCCATGTCCAACGAGTTGGCATAAAACTTCATTTTCAGAATGAACTTGCTGATCCATGTAACTTCATCAGCTACATACTATTGCTATAGTGAGTACAATTCAATCACACCAAAAAGAGCTACTTTAGCATCGTCTTCCTTACATAAAAGAGAAACAATAATGTACATATAATCCAATTAAGGAGAGCTAGACATATTCTTCCATGCATGAAAGATAACTAAACTGATGGAAAGAATCAGAGATAACAACATCAAAGGAAACTAGCTTTATCCTCGAACTTCATCAGCATACCAAATCCGTGCCAAGAACGCGAAACGCAGCTAGCTCGAGCGATATCGCAAGGGTCGCCCAAACTCAGAAGTATCTTGAATGACATGTCCAATCCCAGTATTGGCACGAAATCCACAGAGGGATCCATTTCTGCTAGTGTAAGCAAGCTCCAGATGCCTTCTTGAAACTCAAAACCTACCTTAGCATCACAATCAAATCACCCTTAGAATACAAAAAAAATAGGACATTTAAGACCACCGAATGCATCAAGGTGCAAAATTTACAGTTAATTAACGATTCAACTCAGCACAATTAAACGAAAAATTTAGAGCTTATACCTCTTTACATAAAAGAAAATCAAGCGAATTGGAGTCGAAAATGAACAAAAATTCCCCCATGAACTGTTAATTTCGTTATACTATAAACACTTGGCCAGGCTATTTTTCTTGTTTCTGAATTTCCAATCAAATGCATAACTCACGGAACCATAAAATGCCCTCGAATCGAATTTACTCTGGGGAAAACTCCGACCGAGGAAATCACATTAAAAAAGAAAAAAAAACAAACGCAAAGTTCATCCTTTTTCTCCCAATTCCACAACCACGAATTCCACAAAATCAAAATTTGAAGACGAGAAATCAACCCCAACCAACATTCCAGAATCCCAATCAAACGCGAAATTCAGCAATTCGAAGCCGGGAAAAAAACCGGCGCCAAATTCGCAGTTCGCGGACGAACGAAATCCTATCGGAATTCAGCGACCGGAGCGCCGACCGAATCAGCGAGCGGAAGAAAACCCCGATTGCCGACGGACAAGAGGGACGCGAGGAATTCCAACCTTCGGCTGCCGATGCGCAGGAGCCTCATCGACGTCGTCCAAACCCTAAGATCGCCGAGAAGATACGCAGAGCGCGTGCCGCTGCCGGTGCTCGCGACGATGATACCTGCGAGAACGAGCGAGAGAGAGAGAGAGAGTGATGAAGGAAATGGCTGATCTCGAGCGAGGCCAATTTTTAAACAACGAAGCTTCGAACTCATTTTCGTTTTTCTTAAAATAATTTTTTGTTTTTTTTTTTTCTGGGGGGGTCGAGTATAAAATTTGTTTTCTTTAATTGAACATTTCAGGTCTCGTCTGTTTGCGTGTGTTTTGAGAAGAAAAAAATATATATAACGATCGCGATGGAAATTTTTTTTTTTTTAAAGTGAGGTTTTGCAAGGAAAAAAACAAGCATTTTCCACGGATGTTTCAGAACGATTTGATGAGTAGGTCGTTCGTTTCAAACATATTAAGAAATGGTCGTTTGTTATGATCCGCTCCTGAACAGAATCGGTTGGTCACGTTGCTTTATTCTTACTTCGGATAAAAAATTGGATGGAACTTATCCCATTAGGTATTGTGGATTATCCCTAAAAAAACGAATTTAATATTTATTTTTTTGCGAAATTAATGCCGGAAGTGAATAAGGACTCGTTCGGCACCGAAAAGTGAAGACCTCACGTACCGTTCCGACTCGTTTCTTGGTGAAAGGCGGATGATTCAAAATTATTTTATTCGTGCGGTAATAATGCACCGGAGAAATTACTGTATTGAATATATACGTTCCAACTAAGGTTTGATGGGCTCGATTCGATGAAGCATAAGTCCAGCATAAATCAGATTGTAAAGTTAAAAATAAGTGGCAAAGTTATTGGGAAATGATGACTTGCTAAGGATTTTTCCGTGTAGATTGTATGACATGTTGAATATCCTAGGCAAATGTAATAATTGGGTTTAGCATTCCTGATGTGGATTAGAGATAATCGGTTCTCGATCCAGTCCGGTTCCACTTGAGATCTTAGGAGGACCGGTCCCCGATTTCTGGAACTCGGAACAGGACCGAACCATTTGGGGACCAGAGACCAGTCACTTGTGCAACATCAAAGCAGACCACGAATGCACAAATGCTGATGGCCTCAAAGGTGAAAGCTCCAACCAAGATTCTTCAGAAAAGGAGAGCTAACAAGAGACTACTATGCCAAAATACTCTTCATATGACCAATTTCATCGCGCATGTGGAAAGGACAAAGAAATAGTTACATAGTATTGCACAGAAAGTTGATTATGGAAGGGAGAGGAGCAAGATCAAAGTATATACATACATGGACAATGGACACAGTAAGCTTCATGATCCAATCAAAACTAGCTCTACAGTTTGCCCGAAACTATGTACTATCGCATGCTTCTCCATGTCATTTCGATACTCGCACTACGTCAATGAATTAATCAATTTCCGAACACTACTAGGACATATCAAAACGCAGTCCACGCAGAGACCGCCTTTGGTGTGAGTGCAGTCGATTTGGGTCATTGAAAATCTGATCTTCATCGATGTGTCAGGGTTCATGACGACAAAGTCTCCCATGTGGTAATGGATCCAGTTCCCAGGATTGTCCACGTGGCACTGGGACACGACACGCTGCCCATCGGAAGTTGTGAGATGGAAGTGGACGGGTTTTATGTCCCAGCCGTGGACGTGCTCGGGATTACATACACGGCGGCCCAGTCTCTTGGTTGACTTACCGAGCTGGACTCTGAAGAAGACGCTGTACGTCCCTGCGGGAAATGGAAATTCCAACTCTCCATCTACTTCAAACCACCAGATTTGCTGAAGATATGCAACCGTATGGAATCTGCGTGTAACAAGCAGGGAAAGATAATAAGATTAGATCATTCCAAGATATAAATATATGATGCAAAGCAGAGGGAACATTTACTAAAGCAAATCTTCGCACACTAGCTTACTCGCCAATCACCACCAATTATAAATTTTCGGTGAATGTGTGAATAAATAACTTCAAATTATAAGATAATACTTTGCCGTTTATCCTCCAAAGATACTATTCCAATAACTAGTATTCACCAAACTTTATGAAAGAAGAGATTCTTGCAGCCTTAATTGCATTTGAACATTTTCATTGCAATCTTCTTGCTCAATTCATGATATCATGCTGCTGGCAAGGAGCTGCATGTCATTGATGATATTTTAAAGAAGCTTCGCGGGTTATTGTAACAAATTCAATAATTAGAAGAAACTAATGCCCTGTGTAGTGCATCGCCAACCACTCTGCTCAGATAGTCACCATGCACTCTGCTCAGCTAGGGAACATTGCTTACAGGCTCATGTGGAAACGGAGAGCAGCTTTGCCATAAACAAGTCACACAAATAGAGAATATGTTGAAACAAGCAAATGCATTCCTCCTTGTCACCACCAAATCTTTTCAGAAACGTCGCTCTCCAAGTAATGTCTAGTACTACAGTACTAAGTTCCTATATGATCCAAAGTTCATCATCTTGGGTGTAATCATCTCACGGAAGTCTATGTACTGAACAAAACTTAGAGAGATTATTTGAAGCTCCGAAAACTGAGCACGCCAATATGTAGTACTCTAATCTTCCAGTATTTCCCAAGCACCTGGAAGAACATATTTTTGCCATGAATGATATCTAACTCATACAACATGCTGAGCAATTCTGATATCCCCTACCGGCATCGAAACGAAACCCGTTCACCTAATAATGAAAAAACCGATACGAGAAAAGGGCTGGCTGATTTGGTCCATCCAGGAGCAAAATGAGGAAAGACGTACCTAGATTCCTCGGTCGAAATGCGTTTCCAGTATCTTCGGTCATGTATTCCGGTGATCATCAAGGCCTTGGATGAAATCGACAGACAAACCCCGCCCGTCCTCTTATCCAGCCAAAATTCCTGCATTCCACACCCCCCGCAATCCACCAACGATCAGAAAAACGATAGCTAAATCATTAATTAAACTTTCCATTTCTTCCGATTCGATAAAATCCAATCCACCCCCACTTCAACTTATCCAAAGAAGAGTAAAGCAAGAATTTTTCTACGATCCCACAATTGAAATTGCCCAAGTTCCGACCAAAAAAACATAAACAAGGGCTGCTAACATCTTCTTCAATAAGGAACGACTGCGAACATCTCGAGACCCGGTAGTAGCGAGAAAAAAACGGAAAAAGAGAAGGAAAAGTTTCGCACCTTTGTACCGCCATCGAGAGCGCTAGGCCTGCAGAGTCGAGCGTAGATCTCCTTCTTGCCCAAGTTCAACACCTTGGGCTCCTCCAGCACCTTCTCCACGATCGCCCCGTAGTTCTCCGGCAGCTTCGACTCCCAGATGAAATCGGCGGAGGACGCCCCGCGGAAGGCCCGATTCAGCCGGGCGAGGCCGCAGATTTCGGGCGGGTCCAGGTGCACGAGCACCGACGCCACGCAGCTCTCCGGTATGTCGCCCAGCCTCGGCTTCGCCAGGGCGGCGTCTCCGTCCGAGCAGTCCGAGTCCGACGAGAACCCCGAGAAGCTCGCACCCATAAAAGACCAGAAGAAGAAGAAGAACCCTAGCAAATCGCGAGCGAGCTGCCTACCTCCCTCCTCGAACCGGGGCCCCAAAACGCGAGCTGGAAAAACGGGGGGCAAATGGAAAGAGGAGGGACAGGGACAGGGGGAAGACAGGGTTCACCGCCTGAACTTGAAACGGAAGGTGTGGATCTTCAGGGAGAGGGAGACCTCCATGTTGGAGCTCGAAGGATCCATCTTCGGGACTTGGTACTTGGTGTGCGTGAACTGTTGAGGGATGAGGGGAGGTTGGGGATTTTTCTACCCTCGCGAGTAGAACGAAAGGACCCGACGTTGACCTGGTGTTAGAGATAGAGAGAGTGGGAAGGGTGGAAATAGCAATTCGAAGAGAGAGAAAGAGTGAGAGAGAGGGAGTTGGTGATTCAATACATTGGGAACAGCGTAGCTGTACGTGGGCGAGACTCGTATTTGTACGTTATCCACGGAATTTTTCACCCGGCTCAGCTCTATTTGGGTTTTTACGGTATAGTATATCTGAATTTTGCGAATCGACTAATCGCCACTAATGCGCACAAATCGTCCCGTCCACATGCATCAAATACGGAGTGACGGGTGTAGCTCTTGAGGATGTATATGAATGGGCAACCCTGCAATCGACATATAAAATATGCTAAATCCAGATCGCGCGAGCGAAAGATAACTTGTTCAGTGAATCGAGTAATGAGGTAAGCTCCTTTTAACTAATTGGACTATACATATCGCTTTTGTTGTCTATGTGTAGTTAAGTTCGCAAGATATTATAGTCTAAAATGGCAACTAATTTATAAAAGCAATGAGAATTCAAAACTTAGTAAGTTTCTTCATTATGTATTTACATATACTTCACAAACCCAAAAAAAAAATTACATATACTTTTATCTCCTTGTATAATGGAAAATTGGGATAAGTTAGTTATTTATGTCCTGGTATCATAAAATGAGATGGGTTTTCTTTTTTTCTTTTTTTCTCTGGAAGCCTAAATATAGTTAGATCGGGGCAATTTTCTTTTCTTGTTTTTTTGGTTAAATACACATTTTGTTATTATTATTTGCTGGGATATTGCTCTTTGCGACCAAATTAAAAGAAGGTACATGTATAATTAACAAAAAAGTATATTAGATGCTAAAAGTACTTGAGAGAGAGAGAGAGAGAGAGACATGGAGGGACCGGAGGGTATTAGGTGGGTACACTTTATACGCGTACACGTGTACACGTACGCGTACACATGTACACGCGCGCGCACGGCGCGCACGCGCGTACGCCCGCCCTTGCCGTTTTGTAGAGAGAGGAAAGGGTGCGCATGATAACCATTCTGTTCCGAATGAGTTCTGAACCGCAGGAAATAGATTTTCATTTACTGGTTCCTTGATGGTTACGAGAAAAAAACCCGTTTGATAACGACCAAAAATTTCTATTTCTGAAAAACCCGTTTCGATAACAAAGACAAAATTTCTATTTCTGAAACAAAAACCCGTTTGATAAACAACAGAAAATTCTATTTCCAGGCAAATCCATTTTTAGAAATGGAATAAAAATAATTAAAAAATCTGAAAAATTCATAAAAAATCTAAAAAAAATCAGAAAATCCCAAAAAATTGAAAAATTCCAGAAAAAATCATCAAAATGTCAAGAAAACAAAAAAAAATTCAGATTTCGGGAAAATAGAAAATTTGTTGAATTTTTTAAAAAAAAATCAAGAAATTAAAAATTTCTAAACTTCACGTGAATTACTTAGAATACTTGTAGCCACCCACTTTGAGTAAAATTTAAATTTTTGAGGTGCCCAAAAAAATAAAAAAAAATTTCAAAATTTCACAAAATGGCTTAGAATATCTTTGGCCACCCACTTTTTGAGTAAATTTTAATTTTTTGAGATACCCAAAAAAATTTAAAAAAATTAAAAATTTCAAAACTTGAATGGCTAGAATACTGTAATACCGGCCACCCACTTGAAAAATTTTAATTTTTGGAGGTGAAAAAAAAAAGCAAAAATAAAATTTCAAAACTTCACGTAATGACTTAGAATATATGTATGGCCATCCACTTTGAGTGAAATTTAAATTTTTTAGGTGAAAAAAACATAAAAATCAAAAATTTCAAAACTTCACGGAATGACTTACAATACTTACTACCCACTTTGAGTAAATTTAATTATTTTAGATGCCCAAATGGTATTTTTGATTTTTTTTTTTTTGGTTCCTAAAGAAAATTAAATTTCACTCAAAGTGAATGGCCACACGTATTCTAAGCCACTCTGTAAGTTTTGAAAATTTTTCTTTTTGCTTATTTTTATTTTTTTTTCGACACCTAAAAAAATTAAATTTCACTCAAAGTGGGTACACAAAGATTCTAAGCAATTATGTGAAGTTTTTATTTTTTATTTTTTTATTATTTTCGCACCTAAAAAAATTTAAATTTCGCTTAAAATCGTCGATGTACGGGTTATTCTAAGCCATTTGTGAAGCTTTGAAATTTTTTTATTTTTTATTTTTATTTTTTTCGCAACTAAAAAAATAAAATTTCGCTCAAAGTGGGTGGCCACAGGTATTTTAAGCCATTCGAGTAAGAAAGTTTTGAAATTTTTACTTTTTGCTTATTTTTATTTTTTTGGCATATAAAAAATTTAAATTTTCGTTTCAAAGTGGTGGCCACAAGTATTTTAAGTATTCTCATGTAAGTTTTGAAATTTTTTATTTTTTTTTATTTTTTTCGGCAACTAAAAAATTTAAATTTCACTCAAAGTGGATGGCCACAAGTATTCTACGCCATTTTGTGAAGTTTTGAAATTTTTGATTTTTGCTTTTTTATTTTTTCGGCACCTAAAAAATAAAATTTCGCTCAAATTGGGTGGCGCGGTATTCTAAGATATTTTGTGAAGTTTTTAAATTTTAGAATTTTTTATTATTTTTATTTTTTTGGCAACTAAAAAAATTAAATTTTGCTCAAAGTGGGTGGCCATAGGTTTTCTAAGCCATTTTGTGAAATTTTTATTTTTTATTATTTTTATTTTTTCGGTACCTAAAAAATTTAAATTTCACTTGAAAGTGGGTAGCATGATTCTAAATCATTCTCTTAAGTTTTGAAATTTTTGATTTTTTGCTTTTTTTTCTCACCTCAAAGATCGTGACTTCCATATGAATATGTGTGTTGAAGAAAATGAATTCCTCATAAATGGTTCTCACTTTTGTTCCAGAAATGAAAACCAACTTTTTTTGTCATTTCGGTTTAATCGATTTGGAAGCAAACTGTCTAAATAGAAAAATGAAATTGCGTTATCAAACGGGTTTATTCAAAACGATTCTGGAACAAAAACTAGCCGGCTGCCGTTTTCTAGAGAGAGAATGTTTTCATGCAGCACCAAAGTTTCCACGGGCAGGGCGTACTTTGTCCTTATCCGATATTAATCAGCGTCATTAAATTAACGGAGAAACCGGGATTAAGCGATCGAAGCGACGGATCATTTCCGCCGCCTCTACTACGCCCCGGGCGCTGCGCTGCGCACGCTCCTCCTCTTTGGCTATCGCCACTCCGGCGAGTCGAGCGCGTGCGCTGACCAAATATGGCTAGCCGCAGGGGGCTCGGGAATGTTGCGCAAGCAATTAATTTGGGCAGGCGTGTGAGGATAACGTACACAACACGGATTTTTTTTAATTATATTATCTATAGACTTAGGAAAATATCCGACCAAGCCAAACTGCTAATATTCGATGAGACGGATGGATCCGAAATGAAAGATATTATTTATATTTGAGATCCAAGAAACATCCGAACTGGATTGAAAAATTGCCAACCTGAGAAATAACTTAAAATATTTTCATCCAGTACCGTGCTAGTAATTACATTATAGAAAATTATCCAAAAAGTACTAAACCTATTATAAGGAGGTCAATTCAGTTCTAAAACTTTCAATTGTGTTAATTAACTCCTAAACCTTTTTGACGATTTGTCAATTTAGTTCTAAATCTTTCAATTGTGCCGATTTAGCCCTAAGCCTTTTGATGATTTACCAATTTAATCCTAAACATTTTGACGATTTGCCAATATAGTCATTCCGACCAAATATCCAAATAATAATTTTAGGACTAAATTATCGAATCTTCAAAATGGTCAATACTAAATCAATACAAAAAAAAAAAGTTTATGACTAAATTGGCACAATTGAAAGGTTTAGGACTGAATTGGCCTCTGTACAATAGATTTAGGACTTTTTGGACAACTATTACTAATTACATTTGTTATATGTATTCTTGCTTAGAATCGAATATATTGCTAAGCGAAAACATCGCGCTATTTGAGGGTTCGTTCGTTCTTCGATGGTACCCTTAAATAAAAGATATTATTCTCCGCTCCTCGATGGAAGAGGTCGGATCTTTATTTGATCTTTATTTAGAGTTTTGTCCCTTGCAAGACCAACCTTGAAAAGACATTAATCCGAATCGCCATCCTTAATGCGAGGAGTCCAAGGTTTTGCTTTCGACTTAAATCCTTCGCTTTCGCTAAGCACATTCTACTCATCGTCATTCTTGGCTTCTCGAGAGCGATCCCTCCTCGTTTGGTGTCGGAATAATCGCCTTCACGAATTAAATTTAATGAAAAGTGACGGATAAAGCTTGTTGTATTAATAAAAAAAAAAAGACTCCATTATAGAATGAAAGGTCGGTTTCTTTTCCATAAATTAGTGTGTGTGATCATAATCATCCTCCATTTGTGCATATTAAATTTAGCTGCTGCTATTATTGACCAACACAGGTTCATAATAATCAGCAAGCATCCTGGCTTCCCCTACGTGGATCCGAGTCAGCAAATTGTCTTGGGGATCACACGTGGCATGCGTAGGAGTCACAAGCATCCTCGTCCCCAGTCAGCACTTCGACCCAATAAAAAAAAAAAACTCTCAAACTAACATAAAAGCTAATTCTTTGGCTCATTGTTCTAGTGATCTCGTTTAACAAATTATGATTAGCCTATATTTATATCACGAAGAAACTCTTTAACCAAATTATTGCCTGATCGATCGGTTCAAGGATCGTCGCTCGACTACCGGTTCGAGGATCTCGTCTAGGAGGACCGTTCGGATGACATGGCGTTTGCCCATAAAGTCTTTAGCGGACTAGATTCGATTTCACAGGAAAAGAGATTGTTCGCTCTTCAGAGGTTACTTTCTCTAAATTTAGAGAAGTGAAATGTCGACTTTATTCGTTTGAGTAAGGATCAGTTAGCCTTTGTTAGACACAATGCTTATACGTCGAGCAATTTCATACGATATCAATTGAGCGCGCCATCTTTCTCCCGACGAACACGGCTTACCTAAATTTGAATGACTAGCCACTAGCTTTTTCCCTGAGCTTGTACAGAAGTGTGATGTCATTGAAGTCAATTTTCAGATTAAGTCGAGTAAGCTTACGCGGGGCTTAACGTGCGAACGGGCCTCAAGTTAATTGTCATCTTCATGTGTGGGCTTAATATGCGTCCATCTCATCTTAGCTAGAATGCTCGTGATCCGCATGCAGACATTTGCTTGGACACAAAACCCTATCACTCTTTTTTTTTGGTCGACTTCTTCGGAGTAAAGCCGGGATAGGATATGTTTTATCCTATCGACACCGTCTTTCGCGACAGCATCACACTGGTCGCACCAGGATAAGGTCGCGATAAAGACGGATATAACCCGCGATAAAAAGGGTCACCGCTGGGCGACGCCGCGGGGATAGCCCGCGCGCTGGATAGGATTTCTAATGCCTATTTTTCCAGCGTGCACCCTACGCTCCACTTATAAGTTAGGTTTTTATTCCCAAAGTCCATTTGCAAAAAATTCACCAAACACTATATTTTGCCAAAAAAGTTCTTAGCAAAATATTTTTACCAAACACCATTCATTTTCCCAATGGCCTCCCAAGATTTGTGAATCCCAAAAAGATTTTATATATCCTAACCAAACTTTAAATCCGTAGTCAGCTTACGCGATAGCTTAACGTGCGAACGGGCCTCAAGTTAATTGTCATCTTCATGCGTGGGCTTAATATGCGTCCATCTCATCTTAGCTAGAATGCTCGTGATCCGCATGCAGACATTTGCTTGGACACAAAAACCCTAAAAGACCCAATTCTTAATTTTGACTATAAGACGCTTCTCCTTCGTTTGCATTGTCCGTCCGACTTCCCATCGCTCCAGAGCATCTTCCTTTTAATTGCACACGAAACCATCTTTTACGAGAGAATCTTCGTGGGAAATTGGTGGATCAAAGTCAAGAGTCAGCCCAATTTGGGCAATTAAGATATGACGAATCCCTTGGTCTACACTCTACTTCGATTGCTGATTTGCCTAATGTAGACGCCTTCACCATCAAGATGGGATCCGAGGTCCCACCCACCTCAACTGCCCCCTGGATCTGATGACCTTTATCAAGTCATCAACCATCATCGGATCGAAAAACCACCACCAAAGGAAGGCATCTCTACTTTCTTTATTCCCATCCATCAATTATTAAGAGTACGCTCATCCAATGTATTTCGAACACACGATGTATTGACAATCGCATCTATCATTTCTTGTGAAGCGATCGAGCGGTGGATGGATACTGTCAAATAGGTGGATCGGATCAAAAATGATCCGACTCAAGTTGATCAATTGACCAAAGTTGACCAATTTAACCCGTTTTGCTAGTGACCCGACACAGACCCGATCCGATCCATATTGCTAAAATATTTTCATATTTAATTCAATAAATGAAAACTTGTATCAAAACTAAAGTGAGAGTGTGGAGCGAGCCAGCGAGCGCGAATGGGGAGAAAGTTACAAAGGTGGATTAAGTCTATTTAACATCCATATAATTGGGGCTTTACTATTCGAAATCCGTCTATGACTCAGATCCGTATAACGACTTGTATTCTTTGATGTTGCAGATCGCGTACGAGATCGATCATCTCGTCGGGTCCAAAAATCCGAAAGACCCCTCGTTGTTAAGTAAAAGGAGAGAAAAGCTGCAGGCAATCTCATGCATCTGCATCTTCTTTTTCTGCTTGAATTTTATTGCAAAACCACATCGGGAGTCAAATCCGGTTTTGCTACGTTGTCCGCACCACTAGGACTCCACCACGTGTCGCCTCCGATTCTATTCGATTAGTCAATCGAAAGGGCTCTCTCTCTCTCTCTCTCTCTCTCTCTTTACGTGACATCACGTAAGGAATCTATGCATGATTTATACGGTTAATCCTCGTAATTTAGATCGCTATTAAAAGATGATCGTTTTCTTTTGGGACGAAAGCTTTTGACCTCTTGTGCTAACTTAGATTCTCCCGTCATGTTCGTATTTTCAACGGACCGACGTTTTCATACATATATGCAATTTGTACACGTGATTTCCCCTCGTTTATGATATCAAGCTTTCGGGTCGAATGTTTCGACACGATACTGAAGCCGGATCCGGGGGCTTCGATTCATCTCGAATCTAATCCATTCGACACAGCACCAACAAGCACGGGATCCATAGAGTGACGCTCGAGGAAAAAGAATTAGATGCTTTAAAGTCAAAATCGCTCCAACCTCAAGCCAAAGCGCAAGCAAACCCCACTTTCCTCCTCGCCTAATTCCTGAATATAATTTTAATTTTTTTCCCTACCCCACTTGCAATTCAAATTGAACAGGCCCCCCCTTCCTCCCCATGTTCTAAGGTCAATCCTGTTTGATTAGGATTTGATTAATTTAGCATAATCAAGTCGAGAATTCGTACATGTCTATGTGCGGAGCAGGGCATGGGTTTCGATTGCACCATACCAATCCGAAACATGCAACGTGGTTGGTCCAACAATTTTTTTGGCACTTTCTTTGCGCACCAACTTCGGGTGGATTATTGCCTAAGGTTGCCTCCCGATCGGTCCCAAAGGATTTCTTACCATATAATATCATTATAATTAATTATGCTGATTGGTAGACAGCGCTCTCGTTTGTTTTTTTTTTTTTTGGGGGGGAGGGGAGGGGAGTGCAAACCACGCTCTCTTTCCTAATCTCATTTTTATTTTTTTCCCCGAAAAGAGAAAAAAAAAAAGCTAGTTCGAAATCGGGTCGCACGAGACAATAGCTGTCAGTACATCAAATCTCGGGTCTCGGTCGAACCCATTTAAGCTTTTTAGAATAATTGATCGTAATCACACAAAATTTTGCACTCGACAACGAGGCCTCCTCCTCGATCTTGTCCTGGATAAACTTCTCATATATGGCTATTAGAATCGATTCCACATAATTAGCATTTACTTGATTGAGATCCTCTTTCCTTAAATCGCTCTTTTTTTTTCTTTCCTTTTTTTTTTTCTTCTCCCTTTCCTATTAAAGTTCATTACAATCTTTATCGTGTCCACGACCCATTATTTTTCACGGCTCTGGATTTATTTTAGCCGTCGCTTCTCTTGCTTCACACTAATTTTTCCTGTCAAAATCTAACGAAATTAAAATAAAAATAAAATAAAAAACGTTCCCATCAAATTGTCATCATCCTACGTTAATTTTACCATATGGTCGTCGCTTACCTTATATTACAACAATAATATCGAAAAAGTCTTATCCGTCGCCCTTAAGTTTACTACAATTTCTCCCGTCTTCTTCTCCCTCGCAAACTTGTTCGCACGGCGTCGCTCTCTCTCTCTCTCTCTCTCTCTAGGAGCAGCGACTTCCGACGCCACGCCATGAACTGAATCTCTCTCTAAAGTCGTCGCCGCCGCCGCCGCCACCTTTGACAGCGTCGCCGTCGTCGTCTTCTTCTTCCGATGGCGAATCACAAGAACTGCCCGAACCCTTTCCAGAGCTTCCCCTTCAAGTCCAAGAAGGCCAACCTCTACTACATCACCACCGCCTCCATCCTCTGCTCCCTCTTCTACCTCCTCGGCATCTGGCAGCACTCCGGCGGCGCCTCCTCCGCCATCTCCTCCTCCGGCTTCCCCAGATTGCCGTGCACCATCCCCAACGTCGTCCGCCCGTCCCCGCCTCGCAACGCCACCTCCGCCTCGGCCTCGGCCTCCGCCGCCAACGTCGTCCTCGACTTCTCGGCCCACCACAGGGCGGAGGACCTCATCCGAACGGAGGCCGCGGCGCAGGATCTCCACTTCCCTCCCTGCGACCCGAAGTTCTCCGAGTACACGCCGTGCGAGGACGTGCAGCGATCGCTGAGGTTCGATAGAGAGAGGCTGGTGTACCGGGAGAGGCATTGCCCCGAGCAGGGAGAGAGGCTCAAGTGCCGGATCCCAGCGCCGCATGGTTACAGAGCTCCGTTCCAGTGGCCGGAGAGCCGCGACAAGGCATGGTTCGCCAACGTTCCGCACAAGGAGCTGACCGTGGAGAAGAAGAAGCAGAACTGGGTCCATTTCGAGGGCGACCGGTTCGTCTTCCCCGGCGGCGGGACGATGTTCTCGAACGGCGCCGACGCGTACATCGACGACATAGGGAAGATGATCAACCTCAAGGGCGGTTCCATAAGGACCGCCATCGACACCGGTTGCGGGGTACGTACCAAATGTCTCCAATCTCGACTTAATCCGGTTTGGTTCGGTCTCTGAATAATGATTGATTGATAGGATACATTGTTAATAAGCGTCCTGCTTAAGCCAACAGTATGAACAAAATTAAGGTTTTCAAGGCATTCAAAATGAGTAACATCCAACAACAACGTCACACAGTACACATACGTTAAAAGTCAAAACGTGCAAGGCTTGCCTTCTTACGTTGCTACAACATGTTTCAATCAGTTGTGTCATTACTTGCAATTGTCAACAACTCATCGCTATACGTTTCGAGTTTATGTATGTCCGTATAAAGTAACATATTTCGGTGAAAACTCTCGAGTTTGACGAGTTGGCTGGGGGCGATAAAAATATTCGACTCAAGTCACCCGTTCGAATTCCACTGATCGGTGTGCTCGCTATGAGTCGGGAGCATCTTCATAGCTCAAAAACTTGAAGTTGATCGGTTCATAAGACTTATAAGATATTTTATGGATTTCCGGTTATCTGGATCTCCGCGCCCATGTCCCCAGAGCGGAATATTATAATGGTTGAGGTTGCAACAACCACCTGTAAGAGGATACTGTAGATTTTCTTGAGGGTCGGTCAGGGCGTGACCGGGGCGGGTCGAACCGGCCCGAGACGGAGGACAGCTGGAAATAAGCATTTCCTATTGGAGTGGAAAATTAGGAGATGTCATGGGTACATGTGCAGACTAATTACTGTAGGCGTGGTCAGAATTTGGCATAGCGACCGTCAAATTTACTAATCATGGCATGTCATTTTATATAAACAAGCTGTACATCCTAGTATTGCGACCCGCATTGGTGGATCCCCAGTCAGAATTTTACTAATTTTATGAATTTCGAATTGAATGCTTTTATATATGGCCTCCACTGTCAAATTGCCATGAATCTAGGTGGGAAAATATTGACAAGTTGGGTATATGGGTTAAGTCAAATTCATCATGACCCTTGAAGCTTTGGGTTGATCTCTGAGTTTGGTGAAGAGTGCCCCATTATTCTACCGGTACCAACCACCCAAACCAAACTCACCAGATCTGAAGTGCCGAGCTGCCTTAGTGTTTCCACATTTTTGCCCTAATTTTATGACGGTCCAATCATCCTTGTTTACTAAGCTTTGCCAATTTATCCATCAACTGAGATGATTCTAAATTTGAGTACCAATCAAGAAAGATTTTGATACTTGGGAGACTAATATTTGGAGAGATTTGGGATTCTTAAGTCTGAGATATCATGATTTTGCATATTAAGTGCGGCGAGGCTAATTGCAGATATCAGATCTGCACGTCCATTGGTTAATAGCTAGTGTCTAGGACATAAGTTGGTCTTAAGTATAATCAAATGCATCATTAGGGTAAGTCCCTAAATGATCATGTGTTAGCGTGCATGTTGGGTATAGAACATCTGATCTGTTGCACTTCCAGGTTTGCACATAAGAACTGTACAAGTTGAACCAGTTGACTCCACAAAGATTGCAGATCTCAGATCTTACCATTGCTTCGCACCCTGCAATTAGTTCAAGAATTTTATTGCATACTGGCCAAATCAACAAATAAACATTATCGAATGTTTTGACTTTCTCAATTTTATATGGAGGCTAAGACAGCATTGTATGGCTAAATAGATCAATTGGGGCAAATGAAGATTTTAATTTGAAGCATGGCCTCATGGCTTGGCAGGTGGCTAGCTGGGGAGCTTACCTCTTGTCCAGGAACATCCTCACGGTGTCGTTTGCACCGAGAGACACCCACGAAGCTCAAGTTCAGTTCGCTCTCGAGAGGGGAGTGCCCGCCCTAATCGGAGTCCTCGCTTCCAAGAGGCTTCCATACCCTTCGAGAGCGTTCGACATGGCTCATTGTTCTCGCTGCCTCATTCCTTGGGGTCAGTATGGTGAGTTATACTCCTTCACTATTTATTTTACACATCGTAAGATTACATTAGTAATTCATGTTATTTAACATTCATAAAAATACAGATGGGGCATACTTGATGGAGGTCGACCGGGTTCTGCGTCCCGGAGGTTACTGGATTCTGTCAGGGCCACCAATAAATTGGGAGAGACACTGGAAAGGGTGGGACAGAACGGCCGATGATCTTAAAGCAGAACAAGATAGGATCGAGAGCATAGCGAGAAGCATGTGCTGGAAGAAGTTGAAACAGAAGGGCGATATCGCAATCTGGCAAAAACCCACCAACCATGTCCATTGCAAAAAGAACCGCAAGGTGTTTAAGTTCCCGCCTTTCTGCCCCGCACAAGACCCCGACAAGGCCTGGTACGGCTTATGTTTCGATTAGGCTTGTTCTTGAGTGGTCGTATTCTTCACATTAATTTTGCTGTCATTACTTAGTAAGGTCAAGATCGGTGCATGTTCCGCCTTAGGAGGGTCGACAGTACTCAGTGGCAGGGAACTTGTGATATGAAACTAGAAAGCAATGTCTTCTTCCTTCATTCCCAAGCAAGTTCAAGGAGAAGTGATCCGATTTAAGACGAGCTGACATTCAAGCTATTGCAAAAGTTATGTAGAACTCTGCTTCTAGATTTGGTTAGATTTGGTTCTCTAGAATCACCAAGCTGAGGCAAAAGCAGTTTCCGGACTCTGGTATGGGACACAGTGATACCAAAACCAATTGGATGGCAAAGGCAGCTGATATAGGATGTCTTTTTCAGTTGGCTTTTAATCATAAAACAAGCACTTTTAAATCAAACCAGATCTTTTCTTAAGCAACGTGGATTTTAACTTTTGTCTCTTGTTTCTGCTAGAAATATCCTACTTGCTTTCAAGTAACCGCGTCTCATTCTTGTTTCCTTAATTCCATAAGTTTGTACTCTCTACAGGTACGCCCAAATGGAGACCTGCTTAACCCCACTTCCTGAAGTGTCTGACATTAAGGATATAGCGGGAGGGGAGCGAGCAAAATGGCCCGAAAGACTGACCGCCGTGCCTCCGAGGATTGCTAGCGGAAGTGTAGGAGTAACAGCAGAGGCATTCAAAGAAAACACCGACTTGTGGAGGAGTAGAGTCTCCTACTACAAGTCCCTGGACCACCAACTAGCCCAGAGAGGAAGATACCGCAACTTGCTCGATATGAATGCCAACTTGGGAGGTTTCGCGGCTGCTTTGGTGGATGATCCAGTGTGGGTCATGAACATAGTCCCGGCCGAGGCCAAGACCGACACCCTTGGAGTGATATTTGAGCGCGGATTGATAGGAACTTATCAGAGCTGGTGTGTTTTCCATCAGGATCGTATTTTCCGAACTCCTTGCTCTTTCACAAAAGGACAGTGATTGTTAGCTAATTTTCTTGGCCGCTACTCTTCCTTATAGGTGTGAAGCCATGTCCACTTATCCGAGGACTTACGACTTCATCCACGCCGATTCCGTATTCACCCTCTACAATGACAGGTTTTTTTGCTTTTTCTCTTTGGTCTTCGCATACTTGACTTGGATTCTGAATTCTGATGATTAATCTGGTGTTTCATATTCACAGGTGTGAGATGGACGATATTTTGTTAGAAATGGATAGGATTTTGAGGCCTGAAGGCGGGATAATTTTCCGTGACGACGTAGATGTTTTGGTAAAGATCAAGAGCATGCTAGATGGGATGCAATACGAGAGCAGGATCATAGACCATGAAAGGGGACCTCACGAAAGAGAGAAGGTCCTTTTGGCATACAAGCAGTACTGGACAGCTCCAGGCCCAACCGAAGCAACCAAAAATGTTTCTTAGTCATAGACACGGGAGAGACACTCACTTCTCTCTTGTTTTGCATTTCTTGTGTTCTTTTGCTTTTTCTTTCCATTATTCTTGTGTTAATAATTTAATCGGCATTCAATTTTTTGGCGCCCAATTTTTTGGATGTATCGTGCTAAAGATATTAGTATCGATGGCATGGAAATTCTTGTACCAAAGACGAAGAGATTGAACTTGCGATAAGAAGATAGATAGGATTGGTACTAAAACTCCTGGCTGAAGAATTACTTCAAAGAAATTCTACCAAACTAGAGTTCGGCACATCTCGACCTGTGTGTGCTTCGTCCATTTGTTTTGTTTCATCACAAGATTAGAAGAAAAGGGCGCAAGTTCATCATCTTTTGCAAACGATAGATCAGACAACTGCCAATAACCCTTTGCTATTCCCTTCAATGTAGACATACCACCAACAGGCTGAATGTTTTGCGTAAGTGCTGCAAACAAGCAACAGATTTGTCCCTGTCTAAAACACTTTCCGATACCTTGTAGGTAACTAATTTGAGTCATGATCGGTTAAGAGCACAACAGACACACATCTGAACTACGTGCATTGCCAATCTTAAATGCTGTTGCATCTTTTCTGGTTTGGGATCAGTCATTATCGTTGAGCTTTGGTGAAGCAACCCAGTCAGATGCAGTCGATGGAAAGCTATGAATGCACCTCTCGACATGTCCTAACCGATATGTACAATTTCAAGATGGCCAAAGCCAATGCTAAATGAACTCTAGAAACAAAGCTTCTTGTTTACTAGCAAGCCCCAATTCACTAAAACTGGATAATCTGTCACCATCAGTGAACTCCTCGCGAGGATAAGGCCTTATCTGCTCATCAGGGGAAAATACGGAGATCAGTACGGAGGCAAATAAACCAGTTAGACCGCTCATTTTTATCCAACTTGAGACTTGGGAGATGTACTTAAACAGAAGACTTAAAAATTGCACACTACTGCTAGGCGGAGGAACTGCAATTAAATGAACAGGGAACATTTCCTTCCCCAGATACGAAGTATATTTCCATGTATTAACATTCAAGTACAAGAGCGAAAAATAGAAGATTTTGGATCTTTTGCCATTGTGGACTAAGATGTAACAACAGTTATTGAAGAAAAGACAAAAAGTATAGTCATTTTTATGGAAGACCAGCAAAACACTGATACTAAAGGCAAAATTACTAATAATCTTGCGCAAGTAGACAAAGTGGCTTGATTTGACTGCCTTTTGCATTTCTTTGTGCTTTTTTTTTCTAGATCGGAGTCTGAATAACTTCATTTGATGGGTCCATCAGAAAGTTAGAGACAGAATGCCACCTTAAAATAATCTACGCTCATGATTGCAAATATACAGCATAGCATTTGCCGATAGAGATATAGTTTTAATGATTAGACATACTTCAACCACAAGGTGACTGCATTGCTCATAAAGCTAAAAAGAGGCTTAGGAGTTAGGCATAAGGAAGCAAATAGATCGGAATACTTGCCAGTTTATAAGTCATAGGCTTCACCCAACCACCAGCATCTACGAAGTCAAATAGAGACTGCAAAGGAAGAAAAATAACTGTGAGGTCTAGTGTTAAAAAATTGCTCAAAACACACATAAGAAGATTCACCTGTAGCTTGTCAGTCACAAGGAAGCGGCGACCGTGGCGAGCCCCATCTGGCATGCGGACGACAAGATTTATTGCTCCTCTTTCGTCTGGTGCAGGTTCTTGAGGTAGAGAGCCTCCACTTTGAATTGACCCTTTCTGAAATCCCTTGCAGTAAGTGACAGGCGAAAAATCAAAATAGACATCTCGACAAGAAACATGGTGGAAGCATCCACTTTCTCGAGTTGAACATATAAATGAACAGTCGTTCATAAGGCTCAACTCCTAGGGCAGGAGAATTCTGCACAACTAAAGGACATGCTGCTTAGTCTAATTTACATTGTAGCCGAGGGCTCCTGGTTTGGCCAAAAAGAAAATAAAAGCGTCCCCTTGAGAATGCAGACTTGTCCTAGAGCTTGGTTGACAGATGCCATAATGTTAAGGCATTAAGTATGTAATGAGTGCAAACTATGTGCCTATGATGAGATGCATGAAGAAGTCCATTTTCCATCCCTTGAGAAATTTACCAAAATAATGCAGCTTCAAGCATTACTCATGTTCAAGCTCGCTAGGAGCAAAAAGAAAGCTACCCGGGACATCATTGAAATGAACGGAGTTTAGAGGAGTCAATTTTCTTCTATAAGTAACCGCATGAATGCCGATTGCTACCTTATCTACATTCATCAAATATAGATTCACCTGATCAGGATGATGGGCATCTGGACCACACTGAATATGATCATGACAACGCTGGTTGGACTTACCATCCTGCAAATTCAGCCCTTCCAGCTTAATCTCATCCGGCTGTGATGGGCTTCCCAGCTTCAATGAAGCATTGCATGTTAGAGAATACCTTCTCTCCTCAATGATGGACAAATAGAAAACCCCCCATCCAAAAAAGAATGTGGGCACCCAAAGGAAAAGGAAAACAACAGAAATAGACGACAGCACTGGATAAAGAAAATTGTGTTCAAGAGGATACTTAGATCGTTCATCTAATTTGTGTATCTCGCTCTGCTATGTGAACTAAAGAGGGGCATATACTAAACGGAAGTTGCTCAAAGGAAAAAAAATTGAAGGTTTTCCACAGGATGACTGGTGAGCAATATATATTTTCCAGTAGAAATCTAGATAAATGCAACATGCTCCCGCTTACAAGGAGAACCTACCGTCTTATAAAGATGCTAATAAAAAATACATTATTTGTGCATCTAGCATTTTGAGTATGAAAAAAAGACGCTCACTTTTGATCTTTTATCCTTAGTTTTGTCTGCACTTCCATGTGAAGCATTAAATCCAGATTCTTGGTCTCTGTCTTTCACCTGTTGCACACGCTTCTCCTTCTCTTGCTCTGCTTCCTGGATTTTTTATCAGAGTAAAATGAATCAAAAGGCCACGCAATAATAGGGGAAATCTGAGAAAAAATTTGCCATGACCAAACAACCATCAATGAAAGTGAAATTGCACGATCAAGCTCCTTATCTTCTTGGCTAGGTTGCCTTCGAGATAACCCAGAACCAGAAAGAAACTGCATCACATGCATCGAAGGCGTCACAATCCAGAGAATGTCGTGGTAAGCAAATGCAAAAACCTGAGAAAAGCGGCGACCCGAATTCAAACAGTCAGTCCCACAATCGACTCTCAAAATGTACCTCTTGCTTCGATGCCTCAATAGCAGCTCGAAGCATTTCTTCTTCTGCATCATGTCCATACGAATGCGGACTTCTGGCTTCAGCCGGAGTGCTAGAATAGACTGGTGTTCCAATTACACCACCGGTGTTAAACGATCCCGAATGATAAGGCAGCTCATTACCACGGTTGAATGCTTCAGCCGACCCAGTCGCGTTGCTTGGAGGAGAAGCAAGCGGTCGGGGACTAGAAAATGCAGAAGCGCCAATCTGGTTAAAGAAATTTCTCCTGTAGTTCGGGTCAAGAAGAGAGGAAGGCTTGAAACTTCTAACAGCATTAAGGAGCGGCATGAGCCCCCCTTGTCGCCCGACGTGATCCTGATTATTCATTTCATGAGGATATGCAGAAGCCGCAGGAGGAAATCTGAGCCAGCCAAAAATAAAAAAGAAACCAAAGGGATCAAACGCAACTCCGGCATGAAGCGCATGAAACTCGAGAAACGTCAAATTAAGCTAAGGCAAATTAAGGGACTGACGTTTGGTGGATCCCTTCAGTAAAATGCGCATTGACAGCCTCGTCGAGATTCCCACCATATTCCTGCAAAGGGTAGACACACAGACGGTAGATATCTCCTACATTCTCCATGAGAGTAGCGTGATAGATAACCACATCACATCTCATTCTCAAGCCAGAAGGCGAAACAGTAGATGGGTCGGAGAGCCGCATCTCCAGTTCTCACATTCGCCTCTCCATATGCCATCCCTCTCCACTACTATAGCCCATAAGGGAAGCAGAGTCGCACATGATCCCTCCATCTCTCTCTCTCTCTCTCTCTCTCTCTCTCTCTCTCTCTCTCTCCAGTAGACCCGTCGCTTAAATGCTGTGAGATGGCAATGGAGCAACGAAGATCCAGCACAGGCTTGCCGCATGCCAAGAAGCTACTACGTCTTACGCAACCCACTAAGCTAAGCTAAACTCGGAGACCACTGATCGGGAAAAGCCCGGAGAATGTACCTCCAACCGGCGGACGGCGAGAGGCTCGGGCGCGCCGGTGATGGCCATGAACGTGTCGACGGACTCCCGCGACGGCCTGGGCATGGCGGCCTCCCGGCTCCGGGCTCCGGGCCCTCGCGGCGGAGTTGCGGCGCGGGTGGCGAAAGCGGTGGCGGCGACGGTGACAGTACGGAGAGAGTAGGACGGGACAGCACCGCCTCTTTCTCTCTCTATCTCCGCCTCGGATGCTCTCTCTCTCTCTCTCTCTCTCTCCCGCTTTTTATCCTTCGTTTCGTGCCTCGAGGACCGTCCTGCCAATTGTAATCCGCCGCAGCCACAGTCATTTTCAAAGAATTACAGTAAATCACCATATTAACATTGCGGTAAGTATATTTAGAAGATTCTACGTATCTTATTTAGGTATGCATGCGTATATTCTCGATTGATCTTGATTGATATTGTAACGATGCCTTACCTTAATGGTCATGACAGCGCCGGTCGCGCCGGTGGGTGTTTCCGGCCCTCTTCCGACACTTTTCCTCCTCGACCGACACTACTGTCGGACTCGTCGCTCTCCCGGACGGGTCGAATCTTGGAACTCCGTCCGTCGCGTTCCTCTGCTTCACCAGACAAGACAAGACGACACGCTGTATAAGGGATCTCCTACTTCGAATGCCGGAAGCTTCTACACGCGCGTTCCCTGATGTCAGCAACACGCTGCCCCATGAACGATCCAATCACCCGCCACATCACCGTGGGTCGAGGAATATATCCGATCTTTGTAATACGATGCATCGAATTGGAACAAATTTCTATTTTCTGCTATTGCTATAGACTTTATTTTTTCCGTTATTGATAATTCGGTTAATCTAATTTTCTTCGTTTTTTTTTTTATTTTCACGGAAATCAACGATAATGAAAGAACTCTTTCGCGAGTCTGCATATATTAACGGAAAAAAATAATGGCGAGTGAAGTGTTACAACAAAATGAAAATTCACGATTCATTCGTGACAAATTTAAGTTTAGAGGGAAACGTGTATTATCCGAAATCATGTGCAATGTCCTCTCGAGAGCAGGTAAATAAGATGGAAAGCGACCTCTTTGGATTAAAAAAAAAAAAAAGTGCACAAAAGGAGCACGTGATTGCGAAGAAAAGCTCTCGTACTTGTCGTCTAATTGCGACCTTTGAATCCCCTCAATCACGGTGCCGCAAAAGGATCGTCATTGACGATAATGGCCAAGCAAAGGTCGCGCCAGCTTGCCTCCATGCAATGTCTAAAAGCTGCCCCCACATTATCATAAAAAAAATTATTAAAAAAAAAACAATTTCCTCAAGTCTTCCGATTGTCGGGCCGGGCCGGGCCATATCGAACAGGCCTATTCGGGCTCGCGCGTTTTGATTTGGTCCGGGCTTCCGGATCACCTCCGTTTCCCCCACAGAGAAAGCTCTTTGTAGCGGTCAAGCCGAGCGTGTATAAATTGATTTCTTAAAAAACGAACGAGTTTTGTTCTCGTAATTCCGCCAAGGGCGGAGGCTATTTCCACCCCCGTTACGGATGGGAACACGCATTTTCGTTTAAAGCGACAAAAACAACATCGTCGTGCCGGTAATGCTCGGTTGAGTGATGCGTAACATCACCGAAAAAGTTTTGCTTGCTTTCCGGTTAAAATAGGGGTGAAAATAACGTCAAAATTGTTAAAATATTATCTCGCGTCGCTTGACAACGGATCATAAATATTCTTTATATTTAGGCGGTATCATTTTATCTATAAGGTTAAGCTTTCGGGCCCGAACAGAAATCGCGGATTTTATAAAATAAACTGAATTTTTTTGTACAAACAGAGGGTTCGATTTTGTTAATTAGCAATTATCTCCATCGAATTTTCTATTGACCTCCCAAATTAGAGGGCATGATCGCAATTTTACTCTTGACTTCTCAATTTTCTTAATATATTTCACAATAGTTTATGGAAAATTGTCCAAAAAATTTTAAAACCTATTATTCGGCGGCCAATTTAGTCAATAAACCTTTTAATTGTGTTAATTTAGTCCTAAACATATTGGCAACTTGCCAATATAGTCCTAAACCCTTCAATTGTACAAATTTAGGCTCCGTTCGTTTGGCGGAAAATATTCTCCCGGAAAATATTTTCCGAGTTTTCCGGTGTTCGGGAGGCGGAAAACATTTTCCGTGGGAAAATATTTTCCTTATATTTTCCGCCAAACGAACGGAGCCTTAGTCCTAAAATTTTTGATAATTTGCCAATTTAGTCCTAAACTATTTAACGATTTACCAATTTAGTTCTTCCGGCCAATTTTAACCGGAAAATCACTAACGTGATAGTCTAGTCAGTATTGACCGTCCTAAGTAGGGCTCGTCGGTTCCCGGTCCGATTCGGTCCCACCCAGGAATCGGGAACCGGACTAAAACGACCCGTTTCCGGGTGGTCCAATTGAACCGTTTGATTTACAGATAATTCCCATGCATAAGAACGTAAGAGCCCGTCCAGTAAACACTTGGCCATATTCGAAGCGTTATCATAACTGAGCTTCGCTAAGGATGGTAAGTAAATTTTTGATGTTCGAGATTAAACTACAAGTATCGATTCGATTGCTACGAATACTTTTGGACAATTTGGGGAAGAAAAAAAAAAGAAAGAGGAAAACTTATGAATTAGAGGAGCTGCGGGGCAAAGTTCAACTTTGAGTTTTCTTTCGGGAGAGGTAGGGAAGCGGTGAACAAGATTGAGTCTATTGAGCTGTACTCGTGCAAGCTGGGGATGAGAAATTGCCAAAGAAATTAGTTGACACCGCACCGGGACTAGGATGACAGGAGAGAGAAGAGCGGGACACGTGAGGAGGGAAGGGAAGGGGAAATAAATAAATAAATAAAAAATCATTGGTCCGGCCGATCCGGTTCCCTTGGACGGAAAATCACCGAATTCAAATTTATGGAATTAAGAACCGAATTGATGCCTCCAAGAACCGCCCATAATCGGCCAGTTCTCTGTTCGGTCGGTCCCTATTGCTCATCCCTAGTCCTACGTAATACAGTCGGCACTGACATTGATAATTTTTTTTATTTTTTTTCCTTTCCTTTCCTTTTCTTTTTCCCTTTTTCCCTTCTTCCCTTGGTCGGCCATCACTGGGCCTCTTGCTGGCCTCAGGCAAGGGACGCCCGGGCCTGGCGACCCTCGCTAGATCAGGCAAGGGCAGGGCGGCTCTCGCTCAAGGCAAAAAAGGCAAAAATAAAAAAATAATAAAAGAAAACGAAATGAAAAAAAAAAGAAAGAAAAAATTACAAAAATCATCCACGTCAGCGTCGGTCGTCCTATATGTATCGGCCTTGCCACATAGGACGACCAACCCCGACTAAACCTCCACATTAGCGATTTTTGACCAAATTACCGATAAAATATGGACACAAACTGTAAAAGCCCTATGGTGACTTGGGGCGCTATCCCTGCGACCCTCGCCGGGGACGGCCCCTCGACCCCCGCCCGCTCATCGAAGTGCAAGACTCGTGTCATACTTCAACGTGGTATATGAATCACACACCCCAACGATGGACGTAGTTTAGATCCTCCCGACCGACATTGATTCATTCCCCCCATTACAAATCTGAATCTGCTCGCTCTCGTTTCCCCCGAAATCCGAAATCTCCGCCGACTCTATTGGCCCCCCCACCCTCCATCCTCGCGAGCGCCGACCGCCGACCGCCAATGCGGCTCCGGGACCTCCTCCTCGCCACCTTCCTCCTCCTCTTCTTCCTCCTCCTCTTCACCCCGTGGCGCCCCACCTCCGTCGCCCCCTCCGCCCGCCGGCCGGCGCTCGCCGCCGCCGCGGTGGAGTCCGGCGGATTCTACCCGCGCCGCATCGGGTCGTGCCCCGCCGGCTACGTGGACCACATGCCGTGCGAAGATCCGCGGCGGAGCAGCCAGCTCAGCCGGGAGATGAACTACTACCGCGAGCGGCATTGCCCGCCGCCGGAGGAGACGCCGCTCTGCCTCGTTCCCCCGCCGGACGGCTACAAGGTCCCGGTCCGTTGGCCCGAGAGCTTGAATAAGGTATCTTTTCAATGGATTGCTCGTTTCGAAGCTTAAGCCATTGAATCGGGAGTGTAAGTTGCTTGAAATTATTTGTCGACGAATAGCCCTTTGATTGGTGGCGTGACGTGCGATAGCAAGATGAGTTATTCTCGTGTATTAGATAGAGCATGGTTTAGTTTTTAAAAGCTTCAGCATCGAGAGTGTCAGTAACTGTTTGATTTTCCTTCTGTTTAAGTGGCTTGATGCAGCTTGTCATTGTGGCTGTGTACTGTTAGATATAATGAGAGAATACAGCTTAAGGTGTTTTAATGTTACCCTGTGAAGCTTCAGCTTCAGTTTTTAATAAGCTCATCTAGAGTGGGTTATGCAAAAACAAATATAGTCAAGGGGGAAGTTAAACAGTTTTCATTTTTCATTTGAGTTGCTTAGGCCGGCCGTGTTTGAGGATTGGTATTATTAGGTAGAACAGTTGCATAAGTGTCGTGAGTACCGGTCTGTGGACTAGAGATATGTGAAATATTAACTGATAAGTGTTCAAGATGGATAAGAACCCATTTAAAGGTCTCATGCCTCATGTCTATTGTTTTGGTTTTGACCCCATAACTGCTCGTGCTTTATTAGGTGGTCAAACTTAAAATGGTATTATAGGTTTGTGCATATCCGTGATCAGAACTGATAAAGTTTTAATGCGAAATCGCCCGCTCATCAATGATCCTCACTTTAGATTCCGAATGACATTGCTCTTCACAATCCGGCATCCCGAAACGTGTCACACGTATCTGATATGATCATCCCGTGCTTCTTAGATGGATTGTGGAATAAGTTGATTCTCGATCTACTTTACCACATGCTTTGTGTTTGTTGGACATGTGTAGCTATGGCTGTTTTGTGCTGTCGTCTTATTTGTAGATTTGGCACAGCAATATGCCATATAACAAAATTGCAGACCGAAAAGGTCACCAGGGATGGATGAAAATAGAAGGACCTCATTTCATTTTCCCCGGTGGTGGTACAATGTTTCCAGATGGAGCAGGAAACTATCTTGAAAAGCTTAAACAGTATGTTCCATTAACTGGGGGAGTGCTACGGACTGCCCTTGACATGGGATGTGGGGTAAGATTCATAATCTATCTTACCTTTTGCCTCTTCCGGTAGCAATTGGAGTATAAGGTGTCAGCATATTCATTTTAGGTGGCAAGCTTTGGGGGGGCTTTGTTAGC